GTAACATCATCTTGGACATGTTTAGTACCACTGTCGACAGGGGTACCGGTGACCGCGTTGCTGGTGGACTTATCGCTCGCAACCAGGGGCCCAGCAGGGCGTTCTACGCGGAACCATGACGTAATATTTCTGCTGTTTGACATCGTTGCTTCTTCCAGCCGAATATGCTACTGAGAAAATACTCGCTATTACCCCAATTAAATAGAGCGAAAGTGTTTATTGTCGAAGTACGAAGCTGTATTAGTCCATTGTCTTCGCGTAATCACCGACATGTTTCCATTCACACCTGATTTGGCTCACAGTACCAGACGCTGATGACGCTGACTAACAGATTTGCACGTGTATTTACAAGCTAAAACAAAGAGTAACAGGAAATGCCACAGAGTAGCGGGCAATCTCTCAGAGTAGTGGCATAAATAATAGAGTAGCGGCCCCGCTACGCTAAAACGCTTTGGGGAGAACACTGTAGTGTCATATTGTGAGGTATTGAACGCAATGTTCATAAACTGACAATGATATGTTATGCAATGGACAGGGACAATCGCTCAATTTATTTAGCAATACAAATTTTCTGGGTTTGTACCTGTCAAAGACTTTCCAAAATGTTGTCCTCACAAATGCCATAAAATTAAATTTTGAAAAAAATTAAGCACTTCTCAGTATTGAACATAAAACTTGATTGTTTGAATTGCAGAAAAACATTAAAATTACTTTAAAAAAAAAAAGTAATTACAACACTTTAAATATATTTTTAGTAAAAAAACTAGGGTAAATTGCACCTTTTGACCTCAAAACCATACAAAACATACACAGATCCAAAAGTATAATTAAAGTAATGCAGGGCTTTGTAAACAAAGTATCATGCACATAAATTTGTTTGTTATGGTGTCCATGCAGATTTATTTGCGATACAGCAACAGATTCTATTCACCATACAACAATCAGCTACAGTACAAAATGAATACGACTGATTTGCTATGGTAGCTTGCAATTAGTGAAATTGTTTAATGAAAGGATGTTACTTTCCTTAATGAGGCCACATGAATCACTAATGTCAATTGTTGGAGCACCATCATTCCTCATCAGTAGTTTGGTTACCCAGCAACAAGTGATGTCAATAATAGCTATTGATCTGTAAAATGTAGGTGGTTCTTTTCTGTTAAGAGGCAACATTAGATTACATTGTGTGGACTTCAATTCTTAAAATCCACCATTTGTTGGTATGAACTAACG